GCCCCCCCGGATTCTTCTCTTCTCCAGCCTGAACAGCCCCACCTCTCCCAGCCTGTCTCCAGAGCAGAGGTGCTCCAGCCCTCGGATCATCTCCGTGGCCTCCTCTGGCCCCGCTCCAGCAGCTCCATGTCCTTCTGGTGTTGGGGACCCCAGAGCTGAAGGCAGGACTGCAGGGTGGGTCTCACAGAGCAGAGCAGAGGGGCAGAATCCCCTCCCTGACCTGCTGCCCACGCTGCTCTGGGTGCAGCCCAGGGCACGGGTGGCTTTCTGGGCTGCCAGCACATGGTGCTGGCTCATGCTGAGCTTCTCCTCACCCAGCACCCCCAAGTCCTTCTCCTCAGGGCTGCTCTCCATCCATCCCCACCCAGCCTGTCCTCGTGCTTGGGATTGCCCCGACCCACGTGCAGGACCTTGCACTTGGCCTTGTTGAACTTCATGAGGTTCTCACAGACCCACCTCTCCAGCCTGTCGAGGTCCCTCTGGATGCCATCCCTGCCCTCCAGCGTGCCCACCACACCACGCAGTTGGTGTCACAGCAAACGTGCTGAGGGCGCACTGATCCCACTGTCCGTGTCGCCGACAGAGATGTTAAATAGAACCGGCCCCAGTACTGACCCCTGAGGAGCACCACTTGTTGCTGGTCTCCTCTTGGACATCGAGCTGTTGACCACAACTCTTTGAGTGTGACCATCCAGCCAGTTCCTTATCCACCAAGTGGTCCATCTGTCAAATCCATGTCTCTCCAATTTAGAGACAAGGATGTTGTGTGGGACAGTATCAAATGCTTTGGACAAGTCCAGGTAGATGACATTGTGGCTCTTCCCTTATCCACCAACACTGTAAGCCCATCATAAAAGGCCACCAAGTTTGTCACTTGCATGTGTGACAGCAGGATTTCCATTCTTGCGCTAGTGCCAGTTTTGCAAAGAAGGATAAGCGTCCCACCGGACACCAAGCTGACTGTGAGCTGCACCACGTGAAACCTTGCCAGCCGGTTGAGGGGACTGATCCTTCCTCTGCTGAGCACTGCTGAGGCCACATTGGGAGTGCTGCATCCAGTGCTGGGCTCCCCAGGACAAGGAAGACATGGACTGACTGGACTGAGTCCAGTAAAGGGCCACCAAGATGCTGAAGGGATTGGAGCACCTGGCATTGGAGAGGCTGAGGAGCTGGGGCTGTTCAGCCTGGAAAAGAGAAGGCTCAGGGAGGATCTCATCGATGTGTACAAACATCTGATGAGAGGGTAAAGAAGAAGGAGCCAGGCTCTTCTCAGTGGGGCCCAGCGACAAGAGGCAATGGGCACAAACCGAAAAATGAGAAATTCCATGTGAACGTAGGAAAACACTTCTCTTCTTCTTGTGAGAGTGGCCAAACATGGGGACAAGTTGTGTCTAGGGAGACCCCATCTGTGGAGACACTCAACCCTGACTGGTCCTGGCCAACCTGCTTTAGCTGACCTACTTGAGCAGAGAGGTTGGACTAGATGATCACAGAGGCTGGAAGGGACCTCTTGAGATCCCGAGCGGTCCCATCCAACCCCACCTGTTCCATGACTGTGAGGGCAGCCCCTTGTGTTGGAAACACCCTACAGCATGGCAGGTGGGTGAACGCGGCACAGCCAGGAGCAGGGAAATCCACTGGACAAACCGAGCCGTGACAATGTTAAATGAAACCATGGATTCTGTGGGGTGAAAGGCGTTACAGAAATGCTAACGAGCTCGTCAGGGAAATGAAGCCGCTGGGATATGGAGGGATTTCTCAGTTTGCAGAGGTGCTCTGGAGACACTGATTTCTGAACCAAGCAGCTGAGTGATGTTTCTCCACTGAATTCCTTCTCTACCCGCTTGGCTTGACTGTGGAACTCACGGAAGCTATTTCACATCTTCGTCGTTTAACTGTAAGAGTGACCAAGAAATGACCGAGCGGTTTGCCGAGTGGAGCGCTCCGATGAGATAAGCTGCTTTCAGCGGCTTTATTGATCTGTCAGTATGTAAAGTTGGCACAGCACAGCACGACTGGGACACGCAGCACGCGTCAGCAGCTCAGCGTAGCGTCCCAGCACGGCAAACCCAGCCCGGCACGTACAATGGTGCCACCCTGCAAAGCGCAGGCAGCGTAGCGCAGGCAGTACCGCGGGGAGGGACGGCACAGCGCAGGACACAGCACGGCGCAGCATGGCACGGCTGGTTCTGCATGGCACAGCACAGTGCAGCATAGAGCAGCATGGCACGGCTGGTTCCGCACGGCACAGCACGGCGCAGCATGGAGCAGCATGGCACAGCTGGGTCTGTGCGGCACAGCACGGCGCAGCATGGAGCAGCATGGCATAGCTGGGTCTGCTCGGTACAGCACAGCGCAGCATGGCACGGCTGGTTCCACTCGGCACAGCATGGACAGCACGGAGCAGCATGGCACAGCTGGTTCCGCACAGCACAGCATGGACAGCACGGAGCAGCATGGCACAGCTGGTTCCGCA